TGTTGTTGTCTATAGTATTAGCAATATTTACATATTGCCACAATTTTTATTGAAATCCATCATTGTGGCAACTGCAATTAACATAATTAAAAATTTGCATTTATAAATCAAACTCAACTTTGAAACAATAATAACTTTAGATAGTTAGTCATTAAGTTTTTCCATACATATTTTTGTTACGTTAAAATTTTCATTCATTTTCATATAAATTGTATGAATATTTTGTAATCTCTAAGTATATGAAAATGTGTTTTCAAATATTTTATGTTGCATATTATTAATATTTGAAATTTTGAATGACTCTTAATTGATTGTAATATGTTAATTGAAATGCACATATTGGTGCATGAAAAATTTATGACATATGCACATGATCTCATCACATTAGCGTAACAACTAACAACACATAAATACTAATGAATTTTGTGAGAATTGAGAAATCAACTGAAGTTGATACAGTGATTAAAATGTTCAAATGACTTACAAACAAGTATACTCTATTTGTGGACCATATGTTCTAATTGGATAGTTGCTAATTGCTATTGATTTTTATTGACTCGGCTATGGTTATGTTCTATACAGAATTTAAAGTGCACAATTAAGAGAGATGATAATTGCATTGTTTACAAAGGCAATCAAATCGCCATAGAGAGACAATATGATAAAAAATCAAGAACCTGGAATGGATGGTTGTATAGGTTTTGTTCTTGAGATTAAGAGCTTAAAGACTTAGATCGTTAGAGTTTTCATCAAGGAGATACGAGGAATAAATACTTGTTTGGTCTTTTTGAAATTAATAAATGTTATATCTAAGTACATATAGATGTCAAAAGTAAAATTTAGGCAAATCCTAAAGCACGCAGCCCAAAAATTATAATAACAAGCCTAAAAACCTAGGTCGAACGGCAACTGAGGGGCTTGATGTACAATACTCTTTCAGGTTCCTACATAGGTTTTTCAACACAACAATAACCTACTGGTAGGGAGATTTAATGAAAGAACGAATTTGTGGATTAGGGTTTATTTTGTAAATCCTTGTGAGATATTGTGTTTATTATCTTATAATTACTCTTGTAGGGAGTAGACACGGATTTGTATCTCTAGAGCAGATTATAGAGAACATACCCGGTTTAGCAAATATTTATGTTTTGCACATTGCTCTTGTTTTAACTGATTGTTAAATTGAAGTGCGTACAATGTGTCTCTGGACATTTACTGTATTGAATGTCTCATTGCTAGATACAATTTTGTTTATATGCAAGCACTCATATTTAAACAATAGTAAAAAAAAACAGTATATTTGGTTGTAAAGGAAATTATATGTCGAAAATATGAGCAGACATAGTTTATGTATCATGAAAGTTACACAAATTTATGGCATAAACTGTTGTCCAAGAATAGACATATTAGTGTATTTAGTAAGCTCATCAGTGACAAATTTCGATGGTATATTATAATGGAAATGGACACATTATATCATAATAGTTGAAGTATCGTCTAAGAGTTCAAAACATTGTTCCAGCGACCAAAGATTTCATCATATTGCCGATTACAAAATAATAATAGTAATAATAATAGTAATAATAATAATAATGATAATAACAATAATAATATATAATAATAATAATGATGACGACGATGACGACGATGATGATGATGATGATGATGACCAATGCAATATTTATTTATAATATGTTAACCAAATCATATTTAGGACATTTACCCATAACATCATTAATCATATTATAAATTATGTATAATAGCAATTACATTCTTTCTTTTGTATTTATTTTAAAATTTTCATATAAACACTTCTAGATTTGACATATTAAATATTTATATCAGATAGTAGATTAAGCTCGCTAGCCAAGCCAATTTTCAAGAAAAGAGAACTCTTGGCCTCTTCTCTTGGAAGATAAACATATCGTACTAATAAAGTTCACACGTCGAGTTCAATATATATTCACAATCCTTGATAGGCTTGGAATAATAATAATAATAATAATAATAATAATAATAATAATAATAATAATAATAATAACCAATACAATTTTTTATTTATAATATGTTAACCAAATCATATTTAGAACATTTACCAATAACATCATTTAATCATGTTATAAATTAAATATAATATCAATTAAATTCTACCTTTTGTATTTATTTTAGATTTTTTCATATAAACACTTCTAGATTTTATATATTAAAAATTTATATTAGATCGCTAGCCAAGCCAATTTTCGAGAAAAGGAAACTCTTGCCCTCTTCTCTTGGTAGGGAAGATAAACATCCATAGTACAATTGACTTTCAAGCATCACATCGTACTAATTCACTTGTGGAGTTCAATATATACTTATAATTCTTAATAGGCTTGGAATAATAATAATAGTAATAGTAATAGTAATAATAATAATAACTACGACATACTATTTTCATTTAATGTTTCGCTTATCAAATTTAGAATATCTACCCATAATGTTATTAATAATATTACAAATAATGACTAATATCAATTTTGTTTTCCTTTTTAAATTTTAGGCTTTTCATTTAAACTTTTAATTTTGAGATATTGGAATTTATTGTAGATCATATATCTTTAATAGGTTGTCCTCTTCAGTGAATCAATTTTATGCACGGGAACATGTTGGTTAAACTTAAATTGGTCTTTACTAAGACCATCATCGTAATGTTTTAAACCAGATTAAGGACAAAAAAGTAAATGAATAATTCTAAAAAAATAAAAGAATATTTACATGTCAACCTAACTTTTCTACATGTGCAATAAGCTCTCCAACTATTAAGAATAGACCAGTCTAGCCTTAATATTTGCATCAGACACTACAAGAAAATTAATATATTTGTAACGGAATTCCGTCATTAAAGTTTACGTAGGTAACGGAATTTCATCCATAATTCCGTCTTTAATGTCATTTGCAACGGAAAAAAGTAGATTTATGAACGAAAATACTTCGTTACAAAAATAATATTTTCTTATAGTGAGAGACCATCACCCGCAATTGTTTACCCTCTAACTTTGCCTCAAGTTTCTCCTGAGACACAATTATCCTTAGTCCAAATGGTTTCAACAAGATCATGGGCTCCAAACCTAGATCTAACTGCTTGTTCGGGTCTATGTATGTACTATGTAGCCCTCCTTTTTTAAAATTTTGGATGGATCTACGTTGTTGTGGTTACAGCTTGCCAAAATACTATCAAATCCCTGCAATATTAAGTTTAGGATTTCTGATTAGAGACAAAAAATGTGGCTATCAGGGGCATTTGGTGCGCTAGCCCTACCTCAATTACCTCTCAAAACATGCTTTTGCCTCCTTGTAGGTAAGTACTCCTCAAACGGAATGACAACTTTAGCTTGCACTAGTGAGAGCAGAAATGTAACTTGGAAAAGTTTCCGACACATTGGACTTGTATTTTGGCCATAAGGAAAGGAAGAAGAGACAATATGAGATGAGAAGTGAGAGGGACTGAAAGTATGTAGGGTTTTTACTGGGGGACCTATCTAATGGGTATATGTGAATTGTGAGAATAGGCGACAGTTTGCTTATGAAAGCATACTCTAAAATATGACAATGTATTGAGTAAGATAACAAGTAATAAAGGAGTGGGGGTATTTTACATTTAACATACTTATAAAATGAATTAATTGTATTGAGTAAGATAACAACCTCAAATTTGATCCGAACAGTCTCATTCGAATGACGACAAATAATATTTAATGTATGTAAAATTTAATTAACTTTTAACGACCGATATGTATAATAAAATTTAATAAGTTGAGGAGCACAATGTTAGTGATGCAAAAAATCATACTTGACAGCAACTTACCTAATTTGATATGAGTACAATAAATATCCGACATACATAAACATTAATGATGTAGAATATTAAATCTAGAAAAAAATAATATATGCTTAAAAATCAATGGGCAGTTTCCATGAAATTGTTTAACCTACTAACTAAATGTAAGTCGAACATATTCTTTGTTAACAATCATATTCCCTTAAAACTTAATAATATACTATCTAAAAAAGTAAAACAATTTCCCAAAAACAATTTATTGGATTTCTCCTGTTGTTTTGACATTCTCATCCAAGACAAATTCAAGAAGGATCTTGTAAGGAACTGTAGGGTTTGGGACTACAAATTTCACGTGGAAGGCTATTTACAATGGAACTGTAGGGTTTGGGACTACAAATTTCACGTGGAAGGCTATTTACAATGGAACTGTAGGGTTTGGGACTACAAATTTCACATGGAAGGCTATTTACAATGGAACTATAGTTTAATCTTATTGTTTGAATTCCAAACTTACAAACCATGAAATGAACAAAATATATAGAGATGGATAGATTTATATAAAAAAAATAAAAAAAAAAAAGAAAAACCATGCCCAATGGTGAAGAGCCCTTCCAACTTGAGAAATTTTGAGCAATGGGATCCAAATTCTAAATTAGAGGATAACTCAATCTGTTGAGAAGAAACTCACCAATAGCAGAGTTGAAGACTCGGTAAGAGATGGATGGATTAATATTATTTTTAAAATGTAGGATTTATTAAAATTCATCATAAAATTTACAGGATTAAGAGGGCTAACTCTGGGTTGTTGTTCATTGGGGGACGAAGATTGTCTTTGATTTTAGTTTGTATTTTTTGTTTAGTTCTTTACAGCTTTGATTAATATTTTTGTTTTTTGTTTTTTCTGTAGGGTTTTTGTGAGTGTATAGAGAGAAGCGCAGAGTCCTAAATCTAATTTAATTATTAATCCACACTCTTAATTATACCACTCCGTCTCTCTCTCATAATAATAATAATAATAATAGTAATAACAATAATAATTGATTTGGTGAGTGAACATTGAGGTATACAACAATCTTTGCCCTATATCCTTTGGCTCTTCTTCAACCTTCTCTACAAATTATTTTATTCCAACCAGAAGCTGTAATTCTTTCTTCCACAATTTCATTATTACAGTGAACGAGATATGTCTTCCTCCGGTCAAATGCAGCTCCACTATTTTACTCTCCCACCGGAGCTGCAGTGGAAGAACAAACTCCATACCTTCTCCAGAAGGACCCTTCGCCGGCGCCCCATGAAATCAAGGGCTACAAATTCATATACTCCATCCCTTTCTGGCGATACCTCCGCTGCAACGACGGCAGGTCCTTCTGTTCGTGGCAAATCTGTCTCCAAACTGTCGCTGGCCAGAAATAGTTCCTCGAGAATATGCCAATCCATAGCCAGCCAGTCAGCCACGGTTTATCCAACTTTTGAGTCTGTAGAAAGAAATAAAACCCTTGCAGAACATAAGAGAAAATTCTGCTTATCCACACCCAAACCTATAACAAATATCAAATTCAAAATAAAACTTCCCTAAAAAAACGACAAAGTAGATCTGCTCCCGAACCTTAATCCACCCCCACAGGCGGACGAAAATGCCAGTGAGGATATTAAGACCTGGAACCTGAGGCCGCGGACGCCATTATGGGATAATACCATCAATAAGGCTTCAGATCCAGCTGAGGAGGATGTACAGAAGGAAGTGAAGAATAAATCATCTCATTCCAACAAGAAGGAAAAGACTGATCCATCCTCGACATTGCTGTCGCCGCCAGAAAAGAGGAAGCTGGGCATTATGGTTCCTCTGAGCAAACAGGAGGTGGAAAAGGATATCGTTTCAATGACCGGAGGGAGGCTGTCCGGAAGACCCAAAAAGAGGCCGAAGCACCTTCAGAAATATATGAGCGTATGTACTCCAACTTCTTTTTCTTGAATAATTTTATTTATGCTGATTGTTTCATAAGTTTGTATTTGATTTTTATTTTTTATTATTTTTATTTACATATTTTGTTTCCGGGAGAATTCTTGGCCACCATTTCTGCTGAAAGATACAAGGTAATTACCCTCAAAACTATCTAAACTCCAAATTGTCCCAGCATATATGGAGTGTTTATTTTATTAATGGAGTGTTTATTTTATTGATTCTGGTACTGACTGTATGATGATATATATACAAATATATATAAATTTGTGCAGGTTTAGATGGAATTAATGACTCTTCTTCGATTCTCTAGCAGTTGGTTTCTTTTCTGATTTTTTTCGGTAGTGAGGATGTGGATATATTAACTTAAGTATTGTAAGTGAGATGGAAACGTAAGATGAATGGATTTTTATTTGCTGTTAACTATTACCAATGTGTATTGGCTTATGATTTGCTTTGTTATCATTGACTTACGTGTGTAATTTTCAATCTTGATTTCCATGTAATTTTTTGCAAATGCTTGTGTTTGTCTATGTTTTTCAAATATTTTAGGTTTATTCATTTTCGCAGAACATACATAAAATATACTATGAATTATTCCCAATAAAGATACACTTTTGTTGTACGCCAAAATTATGTTAATAATCTTTTTCATTGTGGGCTAAATTAATGTCTAATCCATTTATATTTAAGAACTTTATATACCGATAATTTTGTCACTCTTATGTTAACAAATACTCTCTCCGTCCAACGAAAAATTAGTCATTTGGACATAGCATGGAAATTAAGTAAAATGAATATTTTATTAAAAAAATAGAAAAAGTACAATGGTAATTTATTTTTGAAAATTTAGTTAATAATTAAAAAGAATATAATAAAGTTAATGATATTTTTTTGAATAACTGTTGAATGAAAGGTAACAGTTAAATATTGACCTTTTGATATTTTTTTTAAAAATAGAGTAATAGGTAAATTCAAAGGACAAACGAAAAAGGAAATATGAATACATTTTGTGGAAGGAATGAGTAATACAAAATGATATCGAATTTATCAAAATCTTTTCTACTGAGTGCAAGATGTTTTTATCAATTTTTTTAGTAATTTTCTCATAATACCTCTATTTTACTCATATCTATCTCACTTTAATATTAGACAAAATAGCATAAAATCCCCCATGTGGCTTCACGAAGTTGCTGAAAACCGCCCGTAGCTCTAAAATTACAAACACCTACTCATGGTTTCCAAAATGTTGCACACTGGCAGACGTTTGTCACACAGCAAAATTTAAATAAAATAAACTTACTTCTGCAATAAAAATAACGTAGTATAGATGAAGTAGGGTCGTCTCTTCAGGGAATTAAAAAAGGTTTTATTTTCAACTTTTTAATTTATAAATATAATAAAATGGGGGATTTTGGAAACAGGAAATAAAAATAAAATAACAAACTAAAAACACTACGACTAACATATAAATTCAATAAAAATAAGTTTTCAGTTTATGAATGAAATTGACAGCTTGGGTAGTTGATTAGATCATCGATATATATTTAATTTCATTGGTTTCTAAATAAATTAGTTATAGTTACCGACACACGCCTAATAACCAACACATCCTTAATTTCTCGACAGTCTAGGTATGCCCGTCAACTGCTTCCCTAGTTAGACTAGAACCCTAGTCTAGCGACAAAGAATTTACTAGCCGAACCGCCTTGCGAAGTAGAAAAGCCTAATTCAATTTAACAATTACATATGCGAAATTGTTTAAAATTGATTCAGTGATTTCCTAATGGTGTCTGCCACTAGTTGCTACTTGAACCAAATTAAAACGCAATTACGGACGCCTAATTTAGTTTAGCAATTAATCCTTAATCCAATTGAAATAGCTGGCCACAATACCCAACCAAATAAAAGATTATAACTCAAAGAAATCAGAAACCACAAAAATACTTAGGAACCAAAGAAATATCATAAATCAAAACAAGTCTAATCTCCCAAATCCATTCCAATTGTAATTCACTCCTAGACTAGAAAAGTAAACTACTCGCTAATCATGGGAGGAAGAACAAAGGAAGCAAAGAGAAACATCGCCTGAGAATGATGTTGGTAGGGGTAGAATTCGAAATCTTCTTGGAAGAATCTTTCTCTTTCTTGCCCTTGCACGGTTTCTCCCTAGGACTGTTCTGGACGGTGTTCTCCTCGGCAAGTGGCATAAGTGGCGTCTCCCCCTTATTTCTTTCCTTTATATTTGCCTTAATTTTGTAACAATTGGGCTTTAGGCATTTTTTTCTCTTTTCCCTCTAATTCTATCAATTTTATTATTTTTCTCCTGCAAATTATGAACAAATAATATATACCCAAATCAGGTAGAATCTACTCAAAATCAACAAAATATCGCATATAATATGAATATTTAACGTACGCGATTTATGGCTATCAAATCTCCCCACACCTAGATCATGTTTGCCCTCAAGCATAAATTCGAAACAAGCCAAAAGAAATCGCAGGCGGCTCAATGTGACAAGAAAATCTAACTCAACCAAATCAATCGGAAATTCAACATATCAAGCCAAGTCAACCTCACAGGATAAAGTGTATGCGCATATATTATCTGAAAGAAATAAGTGTGTATAATCAGATAACGCTCAAGTAGTGCGACAAAAGATTATCCCATAGGCTTGAATGAAAATCAAATCTCCATTGCTTTAGATACTCGAATTTAACATCAAGAATCAAATGGACCTTTTTATAAAGGCACTAACGGGGCTGATGGTTAGGGGTAGAAAAAAGGATATGCAAAGGCTAAAATATGTTAGATATAACACAATAAGAACACGATGCTAGCACGTGAAAAATAGTTCGGCATAAACAATGAAACTCTTACTTTATTCACTACCCAAACTTTAATAACATAATTATATCAATAATACTTCATCAAGATGATCTTTTTTTTTTATTTTTTATTATTATTTTTTTCTTTTTGAGGCCTTTTTATGTTTTCTTTTCTTCTTTTTTTGTTTTGGCCTTTTTCTTTTTTTAAATATATATATATATGGGCGCCTTTCACTACCAGTTCTCATTGAAGCAAACACTTCCGAATGCATTATTTATTAATACTCAAACTTCGTTTCTAACTGGTGCCGAACAAATAAGGTGCATCACAACATGAACTTAAGGTAATTATTTCTAACATAGGGTTCAAAATCGGAGAAGACTTATATCAAAAGAAGGGTATGAAGCTAAAAGATGGTTTAATGTAGAAGAAAAATAGGCTAAAAAGTCTCAAATGAGCTAACTAAGGAAAATATATTATGCTGGATGATGATAAAGAAATGCTCAATGGTTACCTAATGCCCTTATCATTTTTAAAATGCTAGACTCGATAGTTGCAAGTTTAACATGCATAATCGCTCAAGTTCTAGGTCATCTAATTGAGCACTACAAATCACACAAGAAAGAATTTCCAAAATCTTGATAATATGTAGTTTATCTTCTAATGTAAGCTTTTCGGAATATATACTCGAATTCTCACAGGGTTCAAATGTCAACCTGGCTCAACATATTTCAAATCCAATGTCATCAATCATGTCAGACAAACCTATCACTCAAACTACCTTTGACTCACTTCAGACAAATCAAAAAAATATGCGAAAGGACGGCAAATCAGGCATCAAAAGTAGCACAAAATGAAAAATTTGCCCAAAAAACTTGCATTACTCTCTCACCACACCTAAAACAAACATTGTCCTCAGTGTAAAAATAAAATAAAATAAGAGAGGAACTTCCTTGAAATCCGTAGGATTGGTGCATCTGCATGCTTTTTCTTTGGATTCCAATACCAAAATCGATGGCTCACCGAGGTCAGATAAGCTGAGTAGGGAGGAAAAAGAAGAAAGACAACGACTTCTTTTGTTTTTTTTAAAAAAAAAATTCTCCAAGAAGTTTCCTACAAAAAATAAAGAATCCAAATCAAATAGGCGATGTTTAAAAATAAAAAACTTAAACTAAAACTAAAACTAAAGAAAATAAAAGAAATAAAGCTAGAAAAATTGGGCTGCCTCCTAAGAAGCACCTCTCTTTAATGTCTTTGGCTATACGCAGTTACCATGTTAGCCATTAGGTAGCACTACTTTAGATCGTTTTACCCACTTCAGTTTTGTCTTTTACTTCCATGTTTAAAATGATGATTACTCACAAAAAATTTATTTGCAAGATTCACATTATCATTTAAGTGAACAGGCTCCAACTGATTCGGATGCGGCTTCGATTTTCTATCCAGGATAGATTTCTCATGCAATCTCAAGACTCTCTGCATACTTTTGTCAATAACATTCACATTGCACAACACATTAGATTTTTCAAGGTATTTTATAGAATCAGAAATATTAAATTGTACTTTCTCACCATCAAATTTCATAGAAAGTATATCTTGTTTCACATCAATTTTAGTTTATGCGGTGCACATAAATGGTCTACCTAGTAAAATCGGTGCAGGATTTGGAGAATTATCATCATGCATATCAAGCACATAAAAATCAACCGGAAAAATTAATTCGTTAACTTGCACTAGGACATCTTCAATAATTCCTTCAGGGTAAGCATTTGTCCTATCGGCTAATTGTATAATAATTCCAATTTCTTTTAAAGGCCCAATGTTCAAAGACTTATAAATAGACTTAGGCATCACATTAATCGCAACGCCTAAATTTAACATTGCTCATTTAATCTCCAACTTACCTATCTTACAAGGAACCGAGAACATATACCTGGATCTCCACATTTAGAAGGAAGCTTATGTTGTAAGATGTCAGATACGCTCTCGCTAGCAATAATGCATTCGTCTCCACGTAGTCACTTCTTGTTCACACAAAGATCCTTCAGAAATTTTGCATATTTCGGCACTTGTTTGATTGCCTTCAGTAAGGGTATGTTCAATTCCACTTTTCGAAACATCTTTATCATCTCCTTATTTTTGTCATCCTTCTTTGGTTTCGCCAACCTCCAAGGAAACGGTG